AAAAATCAGCAGGGATTGAGTCAGTGGAAGAAACTTCTGGAGCCCCAAGCAGTTTCTCTTAAAGAACCCACCCATGAACTCACCTACTCAGACTCACTCCCTCTGAGCTCCAGCACCGGGATGGCAGCTTGAAAGGCACCAGTGGTATACTGGAGAAACAGAAGTGTCTGGCATCAAGGTGAGCAGAGGCCATTGTCCCTTTTCTGAGTCCTCCCCCCACAGAGCCATGGAACCAGCAGGCTGGTGCCATATTTGAGACTCCATCAACCTGGCTAACACTGACCCACCTTGGAGATACTGGGAATCTCTAAGCCCAGCACAAGTATCAGCCTTCTCAGATTGCTTTATAGTTCAGGAAGAGTGGCCCTGGGCAAAACACAGGGGGGGGGGTGCTGATCTTGGCCTGTACCACCCAGGAAACCCCAGGGCCAGTGGACCCATTTGGACAGTTACAGACCATGTTGGAGTACCACCACCCTGCTCCTGCACAGTGGATCCTCCACAGAGGGCAGAGGTTGGTAGTCAGTGGTCACAGCCAGTCATTGCAGTTGACTGGCCTGGGTAAATAGCAGCCAGCAACCAAGTCTCAACTACAAGAGGAAGGTGTACTTAGCCCATAAAAAGGGAGCACCTTGAGTACTCAGCTTGGGTGATAGGGGAGGCTGTGCCATTGGACACTACAGGACACCTACTACATTAGGCCACACTACCAAGACATGGAGTCAAAGAAGCTCTACTTAATACATAGAAATAAATACAGGGAAGCTGAGAAAAGAAGGAGACAAAGAAACATGGTTCAAATGAAAGAACAGATAAAAACTCCAGAAAAAGACCTAAACAAATGGAGATAAGCAATCTATCAGATGAAGAGTTCAAAACACTGGTTATCTATCAGGTGAAGAGTTCAAAATGATGCTCAAGGAACTTAATGAGGACCTCAGAAGCATAAAAAAGATCCAGTCAGAAATGAAGGATTCAGTAATTGAAATAAAGAACAATCTACAGGGAAACAACAGTAGAGTGGATGAAGTTGAGAATCAAATCAATGATTTGAAACATAAGGAAGCAAAAAAATAAAAATCAGAACAACAAGAAGAAAAAAAGGATCCAAAAAAAATGAGGATATATAAGCAGCCTCTGGGACAACTTCAAGAGGTCCAACATTCGCATCATAGGGGTGCCAGAAGGAGAAGAGGAAGAGCAAGAAATTGGAAATATATTTTTAAAATAATGAAAGAAAACTTCCCTAATTTTGCAAAGGAAATAGACATGCAAGTCCAGGAAGCACAGAGAGTCCCAAACAAGTTGGACCTAAAGAGAACCACACCAAGATACATCATAATTAAAATGCCAAGGGTTAAAGATAAAGAGAGAATCTTACAAGCAGCAAGAGAAAAGCAGAGAGTTACCTACAAAGGAGTTCCCGTAAAGCTGTCAGCCGATTTCTCAAAAGAAACTTTGCAGGCAAAAAGGATTTGGAAAGAAGTATTCAAAGTGATGAAAAGCAAGGACCTACAACCAAGGTTACTCTATCCAGCAAAGCTATCATCTTAGAATGGAAGGGCAGATAAAGTGCTTCCCAGACAAAGTAAAGCTAAATGAATTCATCATCACCAAGCCATTAATACATGAAATGTTAAAGGGACTTATTTAAGAAAAAGAAGATCAAAACTATGAATGTTAAAATGACAACAAACTCACAACTATCAACAACTGAATCTAGAAAATAAAAGCAAAAACAAAAACAAACTAAGCAAACAACCAGAATGGGATCAGAATCATAGGTATGGGGATCATTTGGAGGGTTATCAGCTGGGAGGGGGAAGGGGGAGGAAGGGGGAAATGGTATAGGGATCAGGAAGCATAATTGGTAGGAACAAAATAGACAAGGGATATTAAGAATAGTACAGGAAAGGGAGAAGCCAAAGAACGTACACACACGACGCATAGACATGAACTAAGGTGGGGGTATTGCTGGAGGAAAGGGGGTACCAGACAGAGAGGGGCAAAGGAAAAAAACTGAGACAACTGTAACAGTGTAATCAATAAAATATAATTTTAAAAAGATAAGTATACATTTCCAATAAAACATTTTTAAACATTAAAAAAAATCTAGTATCTGACATTGTTAAACATTTTAACAACTACTATTGCCTACCTGTTGGATGACAGCCCAAGCTAGTGGACAAAGGCCACCCTCACCTGTCTCTCCCTCTATGGAAGTCACTAAGGCCACATTTCTGAGGAAGGTGTACAAAGACTACACCAGGTATTTGACCATTAACAAATGCAAGATGAATATAGACAAGATATACTGCCCATGGAAGCCCATCTTTGATTTTTCTCCACCAAAATAGGCTTTTTTGCCGCAACCTTGGCCGGGTAAGCATATGTGGAATGATGGAGGAGGACTTTGGAGCTAGACATTTGGGTGCAAAGTTGCTACCACAGACCCACCCAGATTCTAGCCTCAACCTGCCACATATGAAAAGGTTTGATATTCTGAGCTGTTTCTGCCACAGAGGATGGCATGTGTCCCTTCTGCCATCTGGACCCCTACAAGGACTATCTCATGCTAGGTGAGGATTTCTGCTCCAGATTCTCACAACTCTCCAGTGAACCACATAACAATGTCTCTCTTCAGAGTCACCTCAGTCCCAGCACATTGATCACCCTCCCCCTGGAGCATGCTGTGCTGTTAAGGTTGTCTGCTCACTGCCCATTCTGTCCTTGGCCACCCACTCTGTCCCACCCTGCAGCCAGCCTGGGGCTCAGACCTCTTCTCAGGACTGCTTTTGCTCCTACCTGGGCACATTTCTACATTTATTCCTGTGATGTGATCCTGTCCTTCTACACACTGTCTCTGTCTAACAGAGGCCTTCAGGGGACTTACTAGGCTGGCTGAAAGTGAACAGTCAATGCTTGGTTCATGGGGCTCTCACATGGGGTCAGATGTCCAGCATCTCTGCATGTTCCTCCTTGGCTGGGGCTTCCCTGGTCTTTCCTGACCCTTCAGGCTGTTCCCTATCCATCTGACTGTTCCCATTGACTGTCCCCTACCCATGTGACTATTCTCTGTTCCCTATGACTGTTCTCTGGGCCTCTATGGTCCTCCCTCTGTATTTCCCTGCTTACTCTGCCCACTCTTGTCCCTTGACCTCTCCCTGCTCCTTCTCTGCAGGTTCATGTTCCCTCTGCATGGTCCCCAACTGACTCTTCTTGGTCCCTCTGAATGTTTCTTTTTATTTCTGAGTGTTCCTTGGTCTCTCTCCTGATGCCCCTACTGATTGCTTCCTCTGATTATTTTTGGGTCCTTCTTAACTGTTCTGTGTTTCCTGTTTCTTCTCTGACTGATCCTGGGTACCTCTGACTGTTCTGTGTTCCATATGACAGTTATCCTTCTATCTGATCCTTAGTCTGAGCCATGACTCTTCTGATTGTGCCCTAGTCCATGTGGTTGTTTTTTGTTGTTGAATTTTTTTATTTTTTAATTTTTAAATTGAATTTATTACAGTGACATTGGTTAATAAAATTATATAGGTTTCAAGTGTACAATTATATGACACATTATCTGTATATTGTATTGTGTGTTCACCACCCAGTCTCCTTCCGAGACTGTATTTTTTAAATAGCCAAGCCATTATGTACCCCAAGGCTAGATTGAGTACCTTTTTTTTATTGTTGTTCTATTACACTTGTCCCAATTTTCCCCTATTGCTCTCCCCTGCCCCACACACCCCCAGTTCCCGGTCAATCCCCACCCTGTTGTCCATGTCCAAGGGTCATTTATACCTATTTCTTGATTAGACCCTTCTCCTTCTTTCCTTCCTTATCTCTCTCCTTGCTCCCCTCTGGTCGCTGTCAGACTGTTCCTTGTTTCCAATCCTCTGGTTCTATTTTGCTCATTTGTTTGTCTTGTTCACTGTTCCTCTTATAGGTGGGGTTATATGGTATTTGTCTTTCGCTACCTGGCTTATTTCACTTAGCATAAGACTCTCCAGTTCCATCCATGCTGTCTCAAAAGGTACGAGTTCCTTCTTTCTTTCTGCTGTGTAGTATTCTATTGTGATGTACCGCAGTTTTTTTTATCCACTCATTTACAGGTGGGCACCTAAACTGATTCCAGCACTTGGCTATTGTAAATTGTACTGCTATGAACATGGGGTGCGTAGGTTCTTTTGAATTGGTGTTTCAGGATTCTTAGGGTATAATCCCAGCAGTGGAATTGCTGGGTCAAAAGGCAGTTCCATTTTTAGTTTTTTGAGGAAATTCCATACTATTTTCCACAGTGGCTATACCAGTCTGCATTCCCACCAACAGAGCACTAGGGTTCCCTTTTCTGCATATCCTTGCCAGCACTTCTTTGTTGATATGTTAATGGTGGTCATTCTGACTGGTGTGAGGTGGTATCTCATTGTGGTTTTAATTTGCATCTCTTTGATGGCTAGTGACTCTGAGCATCCTTTCATGTGCCTATGGGCCCTCTGTATGTCCTCCTTGGAGAAGTGTCCGTTCAGGTCCTTTGCCCATTTTTTAATTGGATTGTTTGTCTTCCTGGTTTTGAGTTGTATGAGTTCGTTATATATTTTGGAGATCAAACCCTTGTCCAAGGTATCACTGGCAAATACGTTTTCCCGTACAGTTGGTTCTCTCTTCATTTTGCTGATGTTTTCTTTAGCTGTGCAGATTTTTATTTTGATGTAGTCACATTTGTTTATTCATTCCTTAATTTCCCTTGCCCTAGAGGATATATTGGTGAAAATATTGCTACGTGGGATATCTGAAATTTTACTGCCTAAATTTCTTTCTAGGACTTTTATGGTGTCATGGCTTATGTTTAAGTCATTTATCCATTTTGTATTTATTATGGTGTATGGTGTAACTTGGTGGTCATTTCATTTTTTTTTTTTTGCATGTAGCTGTCCAGTTCTCCCAACGCCATTTGTTGAAGATGTTATTTTTACTCCATTTTATGCTCCTGTCCCCTTTGTCAAATATGAATTGACCATAGAGACATGGGTTTATTTCTGGGCTCTCTATTCTGTTCCATTAATCTATGTTTTGTTCTTATGCCAGTATCAGGCTGTTTTGATTACAGTGGCCTTGTAATATATTTTGATATCAGGTATTGTGATCCTTCCTACTTTGTTCTCCTTTATCAAGATTTCTGAGACTATTTGGGGTCATTTATGGTTCCATATAAATTTTTGAAATATTTGTTCTAAATCTGTGATTTATGTAATTGGTATTTTGATAGGGATTGCATTGAATATATAGATTGCTTTGGGTAGTATGGACATTTTAATGATGTTAATTCTTCCAATCCATGAACATGGTATATGCTTCCATTTATTTGTATCTTCCTTAATTTCTTTCTTCAGAGTTCTGTAGTTTTCCATGTACAGGTGTTTTACCTCTTTGGTTAAGTTTATTTCTAGGTTCTTTATTTTTCTCATTGCTATAGTAAATGAAATCCCCGCCCCCCCCCCCGCCAAGTTTCTGTTTCTGGTATTTCATTGTTGGCGTACAAAAATGCCTTCAATTTCTGAATATTCACTCTGTATACCACTATTTTGCCAAATTCACTTATTAGGTCGAGTAGTTTTTTGGTGGAGTGTATAGGGTTTTCTATGTACACTATCATGTCATCTGCAAAAAAATGACAATTTTACTTCCTCCTTTCCAATTTGGATGCCTTTTATTCCTTTTTCTTATCTGATCTCTGTGGCTAGAACTTCCAAAACTATGTTGAATAAAAGTGGTGAAAGAGGACATCCTTGTCTTGCTCCCGATCTTAGGGGGAAAGTTTTTATTTTTTGCCCATTGAGTATGTTGGCTGTAGGTTTCTTGTATATGGACTTTATTATGTTGAGGTATCCTCTCTCTATTCCCAGTTTTCTGAGCATTTTTATCATAAATGGGTGCTGAACTTTATCAAATGCTTTTTCAACATTTATTGAAATGATCATGTGATCTTTTTACTTCTCATTTTGTTTACATAGTGTATTATGTTTATTGATTTGCAAGTATTACACCATCCTTGCATCCCTGAGATGAACCCCACTTGATCATAGTGTGTGATCTTTTTAGTTTATTGATCTATCCAGTTTGCCATATATTTTGTTGAGGATTTTACCATCTATGTTCATCAGTGATAGTGGTCTGTAGTTCTCTTTCTTTGTTGTGCCTTTACCTGGTTTTGGAATTAGGATAATACTGGCCACATAGAGTCTGGGAGTCTTCCCTTTTCTTGAATTTTTTGGAATAGTTTGAGAAAGATAGGAGTTAGCTCTTCCCTAAAAGTTTGGTAAAATTTGCCTGTGAAGCCATCTGATCCAGGGCTTTTGTGTGCTTTTACTGCTTCAATTTCACTAGTTGTTATCAGTCTATTTAGGCTTCTGCTTCTTCTTGATTCAGTTTTGGAAGATTATGTGTTTTTAAAATTTGTACATTTTATACAGGTTGTCAAATTTCTTGGCAGTTAGTTGTTTGTAGTAATTTCTTACAATCCTTTGTATGTCTGTGGTATCAGTTGTAATTTCTCCTCTTTTGTTTCTTTTTAAAAAATGTTTTAATTTTTATCTTTTTCAAGCTGAAGTTTTATTTAAAATGTAAGAGAAATGATTCTTGAAAATGCTGATGGATAAAGCAAAAGGATACAGTGCTCTCTTCCTACTAGTCAGCCAGCCTATCCAATTATGGGGGTCACATATAGTACATGAGCATGGTAGAATTTCACAGTAGTTTAGTGTTAGATAATCTGTGCCTAGATTACGTAGAGATTCTCAGTGTGTGATCTCAGTCCTGGGTTTACGCCTTTACTCCTTGGCCATAGCCAAATCCCTTGGGCCCAAAGTTCTCTGCGTAGCACCCTTTACAATAGATTTCACCTTCTTTCTCAGTCAGTGTTGTGGATTCAAGACTCTTTCCACACTTGGCACATTGGAAACAGTTTTTGTGCCAGGGCTTTACTGCTCCTATGATCTTCTTAGCAGCATATACAGAAGCCCCACATCTGGAACACTTCTCCACACCTCCATATTTCTGAGCAAATTTAGAAGTGTTTGGATTTGTTGTAGGCCTGTGTGGTTAAACACTCTCTGGCTTGATGCCCAGCCTCTTGTCCTAGCCCATGTTGAGCGTGCCAGCACCCTGGCCACAGCCATAGCCTTTTGGACTATACTTCTTTCCATAGCAGGATTTGCAGTTGATCTCTTCATCATGAATTGCGACTATTGTGCTATCTATATTTTTCCTGCAAACCAGGTACAGAAAGCAGCAACGGTGGAAACCCCTGCCATCATACTGCACCTCTTCCGTGTGGTACACAGTCTGCCCACAGGCCCCAAACTTGTTTCCACCTCCCCAGATGGGCATTTCAAGATGGAGGCAGGACCACACACTGTGGGAAGAACTAGCTAGTGAAGCAGAGCCGGGGAGAGTGCACGAGGAGTCCAGGAGCCTCGTTTCTTATTTTATTTATTTGGGTTCTTTCTCTTTCTTTCTTGATGAGTCTAGTTAAAGACCTGTTGGTTTTATTGATCTTTTCAAAGAACCACCTCCTTGATTTATTGATCCTTTGAATTGTTCTTTTAGTTACTATGTCATTTAATTCTGTTCTGATCTTGATTATTTCCTTCCTTCTACTGTTCTAGGCTTTGTTGTTGTTCCTGTAGTTCTTGTAGATATAGGGTTAGCTGTTTATTGGAGATTTTTCTATCTTCTTTAGGTAGGCCTGTATTGCTATGAACTTCCCTCTCAGGATTGCCTTTGCTATGTCCCATAGGTTTTGCACTGTTGTGCATTTATTTTCACTTGTTTCCAGAAACTTTTAGATTTCTTCCTTGATCTCATTGTTAACCCATTCATTATTTAATAGCATGCTATTCAGTCTCCATGTATTTGAATGTTTTTGAGATTTTTCCTTGAGGTTGGTTTCTAGTTTCAAGCCATTGTGATCCAAGATGTTTGATATGATTTCAATTTTCTTGAGTTTGTCGAAGCTTGTTTTGTGTCCTATCATGTGATCTATCTTTGAAAATGTTCCATGTGCATTTGAAAAGAGTGTATATTTTGCTTCTTTGGGGTGAAAGGTTCTGTATATATCAGTTAAGTACATTTGATCTAGAGTGTTGTTCAATACCACTATATCCTTGTTGATCCTTTGCTTGGAAGATTTATCCATTGTTGACAATGTAGTGTTAAAATTTTCTACTATGAGTGTGTTGCTATTGATATCTTTCTTGAAGTCCTCCAAGTTTTTCCTTATATATTTGAATGTTCCTGTTCGGTGCATATATGTTTACAAGGGTTATATCTTCTTGATGAATTATTCCCTTAAATATTATGTAGTGTCTTTCTTTGTCTCTTTTTGTAGCCCCTTTTTTGAAATCTATTTTGTCTGATGTAAGTATTGCTACCCCAGCTTTTTTTCATGTCTATTTGATTGGAGTATTTTTCCTATCCCTTCACTTTCAGTCTATGTAGATCTTTTGTCCTGAAGTAGGTCTCTTGTAGATAGTATATATGTGGGTCACGTTTTCTTCTCCATTTAGCTACCTTCTGTCTTTTTATTGGAGCATTTAATCCATTTACATTTAAGGTTATTATTGATAGGTACATATTCATTGCCATTTTTCCCTTTTTCCCTGTGTTCCTCTCTTTCTCTCTCTGTTTCTTCATCTTCTGAAAGCAGTCCCTTTAGCATCACTTGCAATTCTGGTTTGGTGGAGATGTGTTCTTTTAGCCTTTTATTTGTCTGGAAACTCCTTATTTCACCTTCTATTTTACACTTGATCTTAGACAGAAGGTCAAGAAGCATTTGCCTTCCATTTTAAATGAGAGCCTTGCTGGGTAAAGTAGTCTTGATTGCAGGCATTTGTTTTTCCTTATTTGGAATATTTCTTGCCATTCCCTTATGGCTGGTAGTGTTTCTCTTCAGTAATCAGCTTATAGTAATCAGCACTCCAATAAGGAGTATGTTACCTTGTATGTTACTAGCTGTTTCTCCCTTGCTCCCTTTAAGTTTCTCTTTTTTGTCTTTAAATTTTGCCATTTTAATTATGATGTGCCTTGGAGTGGGCCTCTTTGGGTTCATCTTGATTGGGACCCTCTGTACTTCCTGGATTTGCATGACTTTTTCTCTCATCACTTTGTCAAACAGGTTTTCTATCCCTTGCTCCTCTTCTTCTGGTATGCCTATGATACAGATATTATCACATTTCATGTTGTCCTACAGCTCCCTGAAACCTTCTTTGTTCTTTTTTAGTCTTTTTTTTGTTTTGTTCCTTTGTCTGGGAGTTTCTATCTACATTGTCCTCCAGCTTGCTGATTCAGTCCTCTGCTTCATCTAGCCTGCTTTTAATTCCTTCAACTATGTTCTTCATTTCAGATATTGTAGTCGTCATTTCCTCTTGGCTCTTATTGATAGTTTCTATCTCCTTTTTCATGCTGGTGTAGTTTGCAGTAAGTTCCTTGTAGCTTCCCTGGAGTTCTTGCAGTTCTCACTGAGCTCATTGAGCATCCTTATAACCATTATGTTTAATTCAATGTCTGATAGTTTGCTGGCCTCTATTTCATTTAGCACTCTTTCTGGGGATTCCTCTTTTCCTTTCAATTGGGGGCTGTTTCTTTGTCTTCCCATTTAGGTACTCTTCTTGTTTGTTTCTGCTTCTTAGATCGATCTGCTTTGACTCCCTGTCTTTGTGTTGTGACTTTCTATGATAGGAGGCCTGTGGGATTCAGTGGTGCAGTCTCCTTGATCTCCTGAACTTCATGCTCTTGGGATACCCTTTATGCCATTTATATGGGCTCTCTGGTTGTAATTGGGTTTTGGTTATTGGTGAGTCATTCTTTAGTGGGTCTTTCCCTCTGGCTGGCTGACTGAGAGTCACTCTGCCCACCATGTCTTGTATGCTGTTATGAGGGTGCTGCTAGAACAAAATCAAACAGCACAGGAAGCAAACCCACACCCGCAAAAACAAGCCTTACCCACAATCACACTGTCAACAGCAAATAAGCTAATATTAATAA